GCATATTTTATAATAATTAATAAAAGAGAAATAACTATAATATTATAAGATTCACCCCTAATCAAAAGTTATAAAATATGTGTCAAATTAAGTGTGTATCACTCATTTTCCCCACAAGATATTGATTGGTATACTTTCCAATTCAACTGACTCATTCAAAAATCATTATTTTTTAGTTGAAATTAAAGGCGACAAACTTAAAAATAAAGCCATGCACATGATGCAAAAACTGATTGAATTAGCTACACTTATATTATATTGTTAATAGCTAAACCGAACAAGTATTAAAAAATGTGTCAAACCAAGTGTATATCAATCATTTCCTTTGTAAAAATAATTGTTAAGGCTACCCAAAAACATGATAGATGTGTTTGGTTGGGCTATTAGGAGCAATTGATAATTGTAATTATTAATTGATAACTAATATTTATTACTTAACTATTTGAAATCATCCTATCAACTAATGTTTTCAAACACACTAACTATACACTGATAAAATTAGACAAATCAAACATATTTGTAGTATTTTGTGTGACCTTAACAATTTTTTGTGTGGTCATAACCATGGCAATGCTTAGGGTCTTGGTGTTTTTTTTTTTTTTTCTTTTTCTTTTTTTATATGTTAAATGATGAGTTATATAATTGGGAATAGTTCTCTTCATACCAAACCCCTCCTTACCCATTCTAGGATTCGAACTTGAAATCTCAAGAGTGAAAATTCAAGTTCTTAATCACTAAAACATCTTCTAAGAGACTGGCCTTGGTTGTTAGTATCCAAGTTGTAAAGTCAAGGTCTTTGCTCTTTGCTCCCTCATGTATTGTAAGTCAAGGTCTTCACTGTCTATGATACGAACAATGTTTTCTCAAGTATTAAAATGAGAGTTTGCAATTTTACTATCACTACATATTTTATAATAATTAATAAAAGAGAAATAACTATAATATTATAAGATTCACCCCTAATCAAAAGTCATAAAAATATGTAGGAAAAACAAACTCCTCAAATTGTTGTTCTTATAAGTTATTAACATTTTCTTTTAAAATTCATATATAAAATACCAAAAAGTCAAACTATTTCTACTAAAAATGAACGAATGGTGTAATGTTTTCAAGCAACTAAACTAGCTATACACTAATAAAATCAAACAAATTAAATACACTTACAATATTTTGTGTAGCCTTAACAATTATTTACGTGGTTATATACAACCCTAGCCATGTTTAGGGTCTTGGTCTTTGGTGTCCATATCCAAGTTAATTTGGTCACATATAGCCGAGTTTAGGGTCTTGGTCCCTGCTGTCCGTATCCAAGTTCTAAGTCAAGAAATTTTGTCTTTGCTGTTCACGTCCAAGTTGTAAGTCAATGTCTTTGTCATCTACTAACAAATTTCCCTTGGTTATTAAAACGATGAGAGTTAGCAATTTTGTAGTTTATCACATGTAAATTATATATTTTATAACTATTAATCAAAAAATGCCACCTTAATATCAAAATATTCACTTTTATAAAATGTCTATAGTTATGAAAAATATTAGGGGTGGGCGTCGAGTGGGTCAGTGAAAAAACCGATCATTTTCAATAAGTAACCGATTTTTTAATTATTTATTTTAATAATCACGAACCGAACCAAAATAGAGCGATTTTTATCGGTTTAATCATATTTTTTTCCCAATTTCACTGTTTCGAATCGGTTTTAACCCGCATATCTGTAGCTTTATTTCAATTTTAAATCCTTCTCTTCAATTAGAG